GTGCCTATATATGGTCATCATGTGATGTCATCATGACCATATTTAGGCATGTCACATGTTTTTGTCAAATAAAATTTGATAGTTTGGACAGAACTTTAGTAGGAGAAAGCTATACCAAGTGGAACAGTAGATAGGAATGTTAAGTTTTACATGGGATGGTAAGGAAACGTTAATGAAAATAATAGAAAGAAAGGATAAACATATCTGAAAGAACTTTTAATATAATAAAACATTATTATGACAGGGAACCCCAGAGGATCTGTTGTTCTTTCTCAAGCACTTGGAACTTGGGGGCGGTGTTTATCGTGTTGATGAAAATTTGTTAACCTACAGGTATCACCCAGACTGCACCACACATTCAGTCCACAGGTTAGTGAAATTAGAGTTTTGAAGTACTTGTACAATTTTAGAGGCTTAAGCATTTACTTAAGACGATGATCAGGGCAATTATGATTATGAAAATAATTTGGAAAATTATAATGATAATAATAAAGATGATTGTGTATGAAATTATCATCAAAGTCATTGTCTTTGTCAAATTAAATATCGATGTTTATATAATGATAATGATGTGGATGATAATGTACAGTAGTTACGATGATATTGATGTGAATTTTTTATTACAATTATTATATGGTATTAAGCAATAAGAGTATTATACTTTTTTAGATAATTGAAATGGTAATAAAAATTATAATTATAAAAAAATCATATAAGATATTCTTGTAATGATCATGGAAATTGTATATTAATTATTTTATTTTGATATTTGTTTTTGTAGAGACACCATTTGGGATATTAGATTAGAAGCAATACAGAAACGTGTAATAAATCAATGGAAACAATTTACAATATGGAATGCTGGGAAGGAAGGCAGGAAGTTTTACAGGTCATTGACTCAAGAAAACAAGGCAAAGGTCAAAGAATTCTGTGATGTAGATGCCAAGAAGATTGGCAAGGTGTACACATACGAAGAATCTAAGGTGGCTGTATTAACAATGAGGTCATAGAAATGGACATAACTCGGACCAATAAAAAATTGTTCCTTTCAAAAATAATTTTGCATTATAATTCATTCTAAAATGTTACAAAACAGCTAAAATGGCCACATTGGATCTCTGCATATTGTACAAATCAAACTTAAGAAATGACCAATCAGAACCATGCCTGGAAGATGCATGTGTCCAATAAACACACATGTTGTCGCACAGATGCACATGTTGCTGTACGTTGACGCTATGTTTTTGTGGGATTTTATCGACAAATATCCAAAGGGCAGGGCTTAGAATAAGGTCAATTGGTCAGTTTATCTGGTTGCCATGGCCCCAGCTACTATTTTGTGAACTATCTGATTTGAAGGATTGTACTAGAATCATGTACTCTTTGCTATAAATTTTAATAATATTGATTTTTCTGTAGATTTTGGTTTGTTACCAAATTAGGTTTTACCATATTGTTTTCATAACTTTTTTCTCTCCAGGAACAACCAAAACCAACAGTTCCTATTGTACATTTCTCTGATGCATCTCCTCCATTTGTTATATGTGTGAAGATGGTGAGTTGTTTTATTTGTCATTTTTACCATTAATACTCCTGTCTGCACTCTCAAATTTTATATTACAAATTTGTGTGATGTGCCCATATATGGGCATGTTAATGTCATAGAAATTACACCCAAATATGGACATATCACACTTTTTTGTCACATAAATTGTTATAGTGTGCACAAAGGTTTAGCTAATCAAAGTGCTGGGAAAGAAGTGTGTGGAACCAATTAAAATATTTAGTATATCCATGGACATACATATTTAGTATATCCATGGACTTATTAACAGGTCCATGGTATATCTGTGGCTAGCCACTTGTTTGTGTTGTTGAGCAAGACACTTACCACCCAAGAGTGCCAGAGACAACCAACCAGTTAGCTTACCTCATATTTTTACAAATGATGAACTGAAAGTTTACTTATTTTTTTTATTAATACTCACCATGAAAACCTTCAATAAATGCTTTGATATATCATTATCATTTCTTATGCATATTTTAGGATTTAACTAAAGGTGGCTTAGAATGCAACATAGCATCTTTGAATCTGGTGGAAGGGAAAGACTACTATTTCTTCAGCTGAGGTATACAATGTAAGTTTAAAAGCTGTGGTATTTTTATTATATTTTATTTAATTATTTATTTGATAATATTTACTTTTGACATTTATAATGTAAGCAAAGTTTAAAAGAATAAACAACTGTCGACATAAAAAGAATGACATTAGAAAAAGTTTTTATATATAGTTTAACAAAAGAGAGTATTAAATACTCAAACCCATTGTGTAAAGTTTTTAAAAGTTTTTTTTTTGTCTTTTATTCAATATCTTGATTTTGGTACCACATATGAGAAATGTAAACAAAAATTCAAAAGTTGAATGTGATTTGATTCAATAGGAATAATAATTGACAGAATTACATAATTATCTAATCATCCCATTGATTATCATACTTTTGTTTATTACGTAAAATAATGTATTGCTGAACTTATATTAGAATATTATACATTAAATAAAATTACTCACATTACAGATGCATTGTTTATGTTTAAGTTTATTGAATTCATTAGACCTATGCAGTAATAGATTCCATTGCCCACATTTTTGAATAATTTGAATAAATTCCTTACACCTGTGATTGCATAGACTAGTTTTAATGAAAAATTTGTCATGCGGACACTAGATAATGCATCTTGTAGTACTTTGTAATCCCATTGTAAAGCACTATAGAAGAACCATGTAGAGTAACAATTAACAAGCATGAGCATAGGGATTGGGGGAAGGGGTACAGACACACCACCTAATGGCAGCAAATTAGTTCCACTAATTGATTTAAATGCCAAAGATGACCATTAAGTTTTTATTGAAATATGGATTTAGCAATCCATTA